GTGAGCTAAGGCCTCACCGGGAGAGTAGAAATTAAAGGGCCATTAAAAGACTTAATCACCCGGAAGAGGGGCCCTGGATGAAGGGTGCATTTGAACCTTGGAGAGGGTTCGAAACCATTCGACATGGTTAAATCTCCAGTATTCTTACCGGTTAAGGATAATTCAAGAATTACTAGGTTACAGGTGTTTCCATCTACAACCTACCGGTTAAAAAAAAAGGAATACCCCGGAAATTCAAAAGTTCTACCACAAAGCAGTTGACCGGTCGAACCATGGGTGGGAATCCACCGGTCAAACTGAACTTTGTCAAAGAATTCGTGAAGGTATCCAAAAGCCAAAGTAAAGTTCAGCCGGTCAAACTTTTTCAAGTTGACCATCAAAGAAGAAGACATTCAAAAGTAAAAGTTGGAGTTCAACCAGTTTATTTCGATTATAGGAAAGTGTAACCGGTCAGAATTTTTACGAAGACATTCTAAGGAGCAAAATGAAAATATCGATCAAGAAGCAAGATCAACCGGTATGGAAATCAGACATTGCATTCAATAAAAAAAGAGAAAGTTAAGTGTTTTACAGCTACACCGGGCATTCCCGGGGAAGTGAGTTTGAAGTTTTACAGAACGATTCAACCGGTCGCAGCCGGGAAGATTACTTGAGAGGAAAAGGAGGTGCAGGTTCTTCGTCCGGGATGGGGGCCAGGCCGTATGAATCAGCGTCGAAGTCCGGGTCCCGGTCAGCAAGGATCGCATGGGTGGCCTCCCGGTCTTTTTTTTGGCCCGACATGAAACCATAGGAGCCGATTTGGGTGATCATCTCCTTCCCATGGTCCTCCCGGTACAGAAGCTTGAAGCCCTCCATTGTCCTCTCCTCAGAGGAAGTAAGCACCCGGGCGGCCTCTACCAGGTTCTCCTCCATCCACTGTCTGGCCCGACCGGGCAGCTCTTGCTCCTTCACCCATGCCTCCTCCTTTAGGTGGGAGACTTCCCCCATCAACAACGTGTACTCCTCTTTCAGCTGGAGGACCTCCGCGTTCGCCCTACCGGCAACCGCCGAGAGGTTGGCCATCTCGTCAAGTTGCCGGGTTGTCAGGTCTTGAAGCTCCCGGTTCTGAGCTTCAAGCCTCTTCAGTTTTTCCTCCAGCTGGAGTGACCCGGAAGGGGAGTCCCCGGCAAGCCTCTCCAAGGTCTGAGGCCTAACTTCGCCCATCTGCAAAACGAAACATACCAGTTAGTGCGACAGACAAGTAGCAAATTCGAGAAAATGTACCGGGCAAATGTTACCTCTTTCAGATTTCGCCCCATCTTGACCCAGAGCTCCTCTAACGACTCTGTGGCCGGGACGTTTTCTCCCCTCCTCTTCGCCGAGGGATGGGTGGTGGCGGCGTGCTTTGTTCGAACCTTCCCCTTCCCCTTGTCTAGGGGAGGGTTTACCGTGATCTTCCCGGCCTGACCGGTCCTCCCGGTCGGAGGAGTTTCCTCCTCAGAATGGATCTCTACCAGTTCCTGTTAGACCGGTACAGTTTTGGGGGCAGCAGAGGAGGAGCCACCGGTCTTCTTCGTCGGAATGTTGAACGCTTTGAAATTCATCTCTGCAAAACAAGCGAAAATATAAATGTTTGAACCCTGACAGTGTAATCAGAGAATGAGGAAAGAATAGGAAAGGATACCTGGGTCACTGGAGCCACCAGCCTCCGCAGTGTTGCCCGAGCAGGTACCCCGTGCCCCGCTGCTTCATCAGCCCTGGGGGTACCCGTGCCACCCGGTGAGATTCTCCAAATCCAAGCCCCGTAATGGAACATTTTCCCGGTGAACGGGTCCCCTTGTAAAAGTTTCTCCAAACTTTCTTCCAAGTGTGGAGCGCTAGCTGGCTCAGTGTATTGCAGTTTCAGGAGGTGATCGTTCCACTTTATGCCAGCCAGAGGAGAAATGGAAGGAAATTTTATAAAAACAAATTTTTCCTTCCACTGCCGGTTGCTTTGTGGAAGGTCGGAGATAAATTGACGGCCGTTACGGCCCTTTAAATAGACATAACCGTCGCATCCCAACTTACCGGGAAGGACTTCAAACAAGAAGAGAAACAGGCGAAGGGAAGGGTCGATCTTAAGTTCAACGCAGATATTTAGAAAGGCGTTGAGGAAACGGTGGGCGTTGGGCGTAATGTGCCCGGGAAGGATTTTAAAACAATGGCACAACTCGACAAGGAGGGGACGGAGGGGGAAGACGGTGCCACTCTCCAAAGAAGTGATGTGGAAGCCTATTCTATCATCCCGGTGAGGCTTGATAATGTTCGTCCAGCTGGGGTCGAATTCAAGGACATACCCCTCCGGGAGATTCATATGAACCTTGATTTGGGCAATTTTGGAAACATGGGGGAAAATGTCTGAGGGGTAGCTAGTGGGGAGGGGAAAGTAACCGGCCGCTTCCAGCCGGTTCACCCATCCCTCATATGACTCGTTATCAGGGTCATAGGAAGCCGGCTCATCATCAACCGGTTCATCCCTCTCCTGAAAAACCTGACCGGGCATTTGGTTAACAGGCTGCGGTTCAGGGACGGTGGTGTTGGGGCCCGACCGGGTTTCAAAACCGGATAGAGAAGACCTGGTCGAAGAAGAGGAGGTTGAGGATTCCTCGGATGCGTAGGCATCCGAGGAAGAAATACCCTGACTATCAGAAGAAGACATTGACCGGGAACGAAAACTAAGAGTTAATAAAGAAGAGAAAGGAGCTTACTTGGCTCGGAGGGCTGGGAAGACAAGAGAGAGGAGCTTGACCGATGAAACTCAGGAGACGCGCGAGAAGAAGTGAAGAAATGAATTGGGTGGAGCTCTTTATAAAGGCAAGGAAGGAAGGGAACTGGCGACGTGGCCACTCGAGGGCGCGCCGCGTCAGGCGGCGCAATGATGGCGCATGGGGAGACGAACGGACGGGCTGACAGCGGTTCAGAACGAATAGTTGAGGCGCGACACGTGTCTGGATTCAAATTTTGAAATTCAAATTTTGAAATTCTTGGGCGGGAAAAGCTGAAATTCGAAATTAAAAGTCCTGTTTCAGATTTTTTTTACTTCCCGCTTATGACAAATTGCATAACCGAGAAGTGGAGGGCTTATTGATGGGTGTATTTCACCCATGACCGGTCAAGGGTCAGACCCATATAAGTTGACCGGTCAAACAGGTCAAACTTAGGAGAGAGATAAATCGTTCATGGAAGGGTAAAGGGTTGACCAAAAAGGTTGACAGGTATACTTCGAATAGTATACCGGTCTAACTATGCCGGGGTCTAATTCATCCTTTGAAGTTGGCAGATCCCACCCTCAAGAACCAACTGGTGCAGTTTTTAATGATTGGGAAGTGTCGGCAGGAAGAATCCAAAAGGACTTGGACTGTAGTGGTCTGCATTGCTGGGAACTCAGTGGAGATGCTGGAGGAATATTTCCAAGCCAGAACGCGACAAGGGGGTAATCCCCCTCGCAAGATGACAAGGCGGCTCAGGGACAGTCATCTTGCACCACATCAGCATCATGCCCCCACGTGGGCGCACGTGGTCTTGTCCCCCGAGCTTAGTATATATACCTCTTGTAACCCTCGAGGCATTCTCTCTAAACTCCCTTGTAAAAGCACCCGTGCATTCTCCGTTATAATATAAATTGGGCTAC